GCGACCTTCCTCTACACGGCGATACCCGCGATCGCCTTGAGTGTTACCGGGTCGTACGAGCGATTGAGCAACCTCTTTTACACGGGGGCACCCACGACGCTAATGCACCTCAACGGCACGGCGTACCCGTGTGGCGCCTACAATACAGCTGGCGTCGCGACCACGGTGAGCAACTTGCTGCCCTCGATTCTGCTGTCCGTCTTTCTGTGTATTGCGTTTGGCAGTGTCGTGGCCAGCGCCCAGCTCCGTTACTACCAACGCCGCTGGCTCCTCGATGCGTCGTGGACAAAAGACAGTGCGTTCATGATGGCGTGCGGGCTACCCCACTGGTTTACGAGTCTCCCGCTCGACAAGCACGAAGCCATCAAGATTGGCAACCGCCTCTTCTGCAAGCCGAGCATGCAAGCCCGCATGGGCTACGCCAGTGTGACGGTGCAGCCCAGCAACGTCATTTACGTCCGAGCTGTTGCCAAGACAGACGAGCCGACGTTCCTCCTACTTAGCGTATACACGCTGCTCCTCGCCTTGACGCCTCCCTGGCTGCGCTGCGTTGGCCCCAACGTGTTTGGCGAGATTGCGAAAAGCGAGCTTCAGCCAGCGACCACCAAGCGCTTGGATCCACGCATGGCGTACGCACATAGCCGCGGCTCGTGCGTTAACTAGTTAAACGTCACATTTCATGCTAGTACTACTAAACATTTTGGTCGTGGCGAGCGAGTCGACCCTTGACAATATATGCCTTAAAGATCCGAGAGGCGATATGGGGGACTCGCAAGGATACTACTACTACACCGAGACGCTAGTCAGTGCTCGTCGGTGATTTGCTGTAGCGTCATTGTCCGCTATGCGCATCGGTATTTTCGTACCGGTATAAGTATTCGAGTCGGTCGTTGGGCTAAGAGACTTGTGCTGGTGACGCGACGCAAATAGATTCCGTCTGGCTTTTCTGCCGCGTTTCAACCGTGTCATGGCGTCGTCGATCACGAGCTTCCTCGGGCGGTCTGGCAACTCGACGCGCGCGAGCCTCACGTTTGCTGA